ATGACCCATTTAATATGCACAGCTTTGGGATAAATTCCTCAGTTTTTTCTGCTCCAAGTTACAAATGAGAGACTAAAAGTACTTAGACTAATAAGAAAACAACAAACTAATGTCTTATTTCCTACAAACAGGCACCCCTAGTAATTGAAGAAACATTCCTTAGCTTCAATCATTCTGTTCAAGGTGTCCATCAAAACTCTTCCACACTAGCATGCACTCCAGTCACATATAAACACAACTAATACATGAAACGGAGAAAGTATGCTTATATGATAACCCTTTGTTGATGTGCTCACTGTGATGGGATTTAAGTATATTTAGTCACGCAGTTCAACACAATATAAACTCAAATATATATACACAAAACTGTAAAGTTGATCCCACAAGCAGAAAGCTCATAAAATTTCTTTCCCTGCCATTTTCCCAGCTTCTGGTATTGTCTGTTGGTGATAAATCCCATATCCATATCTTGTTTTATTGACAAGATTTCCGAGCAAGGCATAACAATATCTTGGGGATATAAAATGTGAGAAGTAATAAAGCACACATCTATATTGCTCGGACTCTTCAAAAATGTTGACAGGTGAATGTCATATCTTCAAAAGTAGTGCATATTTGGAGGATCCACACGGGTGCGGCTGTATTTTGGGAGAGCCCGAGCAACATAACATGGAGAAAGGAGGGCATTGGCTGGAATATCCAAATACTGAAATGGTGCAACTAACATTAACAGGGGTAAGCAAATCAAGTACTCAACTTTGTCTTTTTCACAGAAAAGGAACATATTGAGTACATAGAAAATCCATGTGCAATATAATTGAAAAGACAGCTTAGGTAATTTAATTTACATCCTGAGCAATGGTTGGTTGTCCTTGACAGTAGCTTAACTCACGTTTGTCTCAACTCTGGGAGTCCATTCATGCATCCATTTCCTTAAGTCAGTGTAATTCTATTTCAGGGATCTGGAGTATATCAACAGTTTTCTTAAAATTGATATTTGGCGCCAAACATTCAACTGTGAGATGCACCTAAATCACCTAACATGCAACCCCAAATAGGGCATCGGTCTTATTTAGTACTTCCCAAAATGTTCCTTGAGACTCTTGCTTTTTTTCTTTTTAAGCAACTCCTACATATCAACCCCCAAAAGGTTAACGGTTCACATGCTAGACATTCCTCTGCCTCTGCTAACAGTATTAATTCTTCCTTATTAAAAATAGTTTTACTTCATTTTTTTAATTTCTAATTTTCAAAAGGTATTACTGTCAATGATAACGGCTGTAACTTTACAGAGGTCACTTTCAAGCTTTTCCAACATTTCTTTTTCATAGGTTAGTAAAAAGTTTCATTCATCAAAATGGCACCAAGGTGGTGTTGGGAGATTACAGCAGGGATATTACAAAAACCTCAGTTCCTCTCTACTTTAGCATGTGAGGTAACTGAGGAACTCCAATAGACTATCTACATCATACACCTTCCGAGATTGAGCACTGTTGAACTTGGAATATAGTTTGATTCAAGTAAAGTTGAAAAGTAGAGAGAAATGCTTTGCATATTAGGGTGTCTCATTAGAAGTAAATGAGAAAATCAAAAGTTGCTAACAATGTCCCTTTCCCTTATTTGGCAAGCAAAACAGAAAGGGAAAGGAAAAAAACGAAAAACTGAAAACATTTTCTAGAGGTGGCAAGTTTCTCTCCTAGTAGGATGACAAAAGACATGAAATCTATTTGGTGAACTCATCCATAATAAATAATACTACTTAGCAATTCATCGATATATAGATAAGAAGGGGATGCCGGTGCAAAAAGCATCCTGCATTCACGCAAGGTTCCAGGAAAGGACCGGACCCCAAGGGGTGTGAAGTAGATAGTCTACCCAAATACAAGCATTAGTAGCTGCTACAACGGATCATCCATATACAGACAATATCTTTGTTAGAACAGTGGAGCGGGGGATAGCTAGCCCACATCTCAACTTGTTCCACGGGGCATCTGCTACCTTCCACCAACACAGGTACCGAGTAACTCCATCCACCAAGACTTGGACAGATGGGAAGAAATCACCTAGTGTTTTTGCTTCACCGGATTTGGACCTAAGACCCTATGATTCTCAACCCACTATATTGACTATTAGAGGTCACACCATTGAGTGCTCATCCAGATACAATTTTTGTATCATACATACAGATACAATATCTCCACCATCACATTCCTCGACCTACAATTTTTTTATATTCCTTATGCACTAAAATCAAATGATTTTTTATGACAAACTGAAAATCATCTTTCTTTTTTTGGATGACCATGGTGTTTGGGAAAGCTTGCGCACACCTCAACTAATGTCATGTGGTAACTGATACCTCAAATTTATCATTCATACTACTAACTTCAAGCTTAAACAAGAACTAACGATATTTATGTATGGAGAGAGTACGGTAGGGCATACACCGAGTTCTTATAATAATTTCTCACCCTACCCATACACATGGCTGGTTCAGGAATTGTAATCTTCACCTTCCCCTTACAAACTCATTTGGAGGCACCACAATGATGGAATTTTCACTGTTAACAGAGTATACAAAAGGGGACTGAGTGGAGCTGCAGGCAGGTCAACTGGACCTTGGAATACTATATGGAAGAGTGTGACTCCTAATAAAGTAAAATGCTTCACTTGGCTAGTAGCTAGGAAAGCATGCTTGACACATGAGGCATTGCAAACAAGGGGGTCCATCATAGCATCTAGATGCCTCCTCTGCAAGGAGGCACTAGAAACTAACAAACACCTTTTCATGCATTGCAAAGTAACGACGCAAGTTTGGGCTATGTTCACTTCCATTGCTGGAATCAACTGGATCATGCCTAAACATACTGCAGACTTGCTTAGCTGTTGGATCAAAAGAGGAGGAAGCAAAAGCCAAAAAAGATGGTGGAGGACAGTCCCAGCCTGCATCTGGTGGACCATTTGGAAGGAGAGGAACCAGAGGATCTTTGAAGGAAAAGAATCCTCTATTTTGAAGATTAAGTGGAAAGTTATTACTTCACTAGGTTTTTGGTGTAAAGAACAGAGTATAGAAGAGGAAATCCAACCAGTGGATTTTATTGGCTCTTTGTAGGTATCTCTCTTTTCTTTTTTGTAAACGTTTTGGAAGTGGCCAACATAGCCTTAATGCTGAATGAATACAATTTACCAATTTCAAAAATAAATAAATTACAATCATGATACAAGTACAATACATGCAAATATTTACAGGTTGAATGAGAATCATCCCTATCTCCAAGCAAAGATAAAATCTTATTTTCCTTTCAGTATAATGCATATTCTAGAAGTTGCCTTGGCATCCCAAGGGAGGTACATCAACATACCGAGTGTGATCTCACTGGGGTTTGAGAATGGTAGTGTGTACGCAGTCTTGCCCTGATGTTGTGAAGGTAAAGAGGTTGCTTTCGATAGACCCTCAAGCTCAAGTAAAGCATAATAATAACAAGTATAGAAAGGAAATACAGTAGTGAAGAAGCCATTGTAAAAATAAAGTAGAAGAGAGCAGTAGCAACAACAAAAAATACGGTAACCGAAGTAGAGGAAACAACAGGTGGTAATAAAACAAAGAATAAGATAGTAGAAAAGTAATAATTGGAACAATACTGATAAGGAAAGCTAGTCAACGTTCAACTACCTATCAACCTTTTACCCTAATCCTCGACCTCCATACCCTCTTATCTAAGATCATGTATGCAGTAAGTTACATGTGTATCATATCCTATCTAATCACCTCTCTGCACTACTTCTTAGGCCTACCTCTACCTATCCTCATACCTACCATAGCCAACGTCTCGCATCTCCTCACTGGGGCATCTGTGCATCTCCACTTCACATGCTCTCACCTCTCCCGGAATTTCTTGGTTCCTAATCATATCTCTCTTAGTATGCCCACACATCCATCTCAACATTCTCATTTTTGCTACTTGCATCTTCTAGATGTGTGAATTCTTGACCGGCCAACACTATGCCCCATACAACATAATTGGTCTGACAATCACTTTATAAATGTTACCTTTACCCCTTGGTGGCACATTCTTATCACACAAGACATTGTATACATCGTCAGTCGCCCATTTCCTTGGATTATCGACTTGAACAATAAATAATCCAACTGCTTCTTTACGTGTGATATTCTCCCAGGATTCTGCTCCGATCAGCTCACTATCCAAATATAACTATAAAATCCCTTTAATACTAGCATCCTATTAACCCCTTCAGACTGAACTAGTCATGTGCAAATCCTATCTACAAATCAAATATGTGGTAGAAGATTTTTCAAAAGAAACATTCCAAAGCTCTTAGGCGAATAGAACAACACCAGTATTCAAAAATTAAGTTCACTTAAAAATTTAAAAAAGCATACAAAAAATCACAGAAGCATGAACAATAGATCCACCATTGTAGTTTATAAGTTACTTACAGCAACTTATATTTCAAACAATGTATGAGAGCATAAACAACTGAGAGATCAAGTAAAGGTAACATAAAAAATCAGTATCTGAGAAAATAGAGCTCAATCACTACAAAGCAGCCAGTCAAAGCTGTTTTCTGATAATGCTCACAGTTAATTTCTAATTAAAAGGTTATGCAATACCTTCAAGATGAAATATAGCCTTCTGTCCAAGGCGCATCCTATGCTCCTGAAAGACACACAGATTTTCTTAAGGGAGGTTTTAAGCTATTTCTTTATAAAACAGCAAACATTAATCCATGCACGAGAAAATTGCAGAAATATCAATACAGTAGAAGTGCACATAATGTCATGGTGTTTGGGACAGCTTGCGCACACCTCAACTAATATCATATGGTAACTGATACCTCAAATTTATCATTCATACTACTAACTTCAAGCTTAAACAAGAACTAACGATATTTATGTATGGAGAGAGTACAGTAGGGCATACACCGAGTTATTAAACACAACTAAAAATAAAAAGTACTATAAGTTCTCTATACTCTTCCTACTAGCAAAATAACAAAAACAGAGAGAAAATTTCAAATATACGTCCTGTTCTTGAAGAGACCGTTATCTTTTCTTCTTATTCGTTTCTTTTGTATCCGAGACTAAGGCCTTGATGCAGAGTCGAGGCTTTGTAGTAACAAGTGCTCGTGGAAGAACTGATACACCAACTATGGCTGTCCTATCTGGTACTCCAGACAGTGGAAGTACCTCAACAAGCACACAGATCTGCAAAAGAGGAGCTACATTCAGTACATTTAAGATACGGAGGAAGTAAAACGCTTATAACTTGTCATTGACGACAAAATAGTTTTAACCTCTGGATCTTTCAAATCCACTATCGAATCTGGGACGACTTCTTTCACTGCTGCTGCTACGACGCTAAAGCATTTCTTGCGATCCAACAAAGCAAATATATCAGGATCACTGGAAGTGTTTCTTAGATTCTTCATCTCGGTTTCTTCAATCCCTCTCCTGTTATACCCAACTGCAAACTATAATGTCATTAGTTCTACAAGTTATATAAGAATGATCGACCCACAGAGAGCAGAATGCTTGAGCTACTGAACATACTACTCAAATTCAATTCGATGTAATAGAAAAACAAGAAAAAATGGTTGAGCTACTGAACGTAATACTCATGTAAGAGAACTTGGGATTAGCTGGTACCACAATGTTACGAAAGGCAAGATTTACCTTAACAGTGTTTCCTGTCTCCTTCTGCCTATTGTTCATAAACTGCTCAACAAGCTTTGTCACAATCTTCTTAAGTTCCTTCTCATCTAAACAGCATGTACCTTGAATTGGTAATATCCGATTGCACCAACTGCATAACATGATAAAAGTCATGATCGTCTTAGTTTCTTCGGTATTAGAAGTAATCTTCGAGACAAGAAAGGATAGAAAGAAGAAAAGACAATTGTGCCCTACTATAATGAGAAAGACCACGAACATAACCACATAAAGCAATATTACATGTAGATAAGAGCTCAAAAATTGATCGAGAGCAACTCACAGAGGAGACTTCAATATTCCAGATTCTAGGGATTGAAAAATCTGCGAAACGATGTCAACAACTGCTGGAGACTTGTCGAATGGAAATTTAAAGAGAACTAATCCGCTTCTCGTTAACTTAACGAGTGAGAGAATGTCACTTTTCTCCATAGAAGTACCAGATTCTGCATGGGGAAAACAAAGAACTGTTTGACACTTCCTAGTAAACCTTTGTATCAGTAAGTCCACACAGATATCAACACTACAACATACCCCGTATAGTCCCACAAAAGTGGAGTCTATGGAGGGTAGAGTGTGTGCAAATCTTACCCCTACCTCAGAGGTAGAGAGGTTATTTCAGATAGACCCTCCGCTCAAGAAAAAACAATCAAAAGCAGTCCCGAACTAAAAGTAACGGAAGTACAAGAAACAACAGATAATAACAAAAACAACAAATAGTAACAAAACATAAACTACAACAAAATAATACGATAATTGAGGTACAAGGCACAACACATAGGAACAGCAATCGAAGGACAAGAAACTATAGGGACAATACTAACAACAACAACAACAACAACATGCCCAGTGAAATCCCACTAGGTGGGGTCTGGGGAGGGTAAATTGTACGCAGACCTTGCCACTACCTCGTGGAGGTAGAGAGGCTGTTTCCGGGAGACCCTCAGCTCAAGAACAACAAATCTAAGTGACAGGAGAGATATATATAAAACATAACAGCCAATACAAACGATAGCGTATAATCAACAAATGAGACAGTAACAACAAGAAAGTAATGCGATGCGTGAAACGCAGTAAACAACATAAGGCTAGGTCTACTCCAAACGCTAACAACCCTGCTTCCACTAACCTTCTGCCCTAATTTGTGTCATACACACCCTACTATCAACACTAACAAAAAAAAAAGTCCACACAGATATCAAAATGTTGAAGAAGCATTAATACCCAAATTCACATGTTCATTAGCTGCACCTTCTCTTGATCCTTTACATTCTTCATTAGCATCATCCATGCATGTTTTCCTTCGCTTAGCATCATGATTTGAAACAATATACTGACAGGCAAACGGCAACAACTATATTTAGCATTCTTTCCAACACAAGGGTCACAAAGATAATTTAACACCAACTTATAGGTGCAATACAAAATAACATGGATTTTTAATGGAAACTTAAAGACCATTTGAATAGAAATGAATAAGGTTTCCATAGCCAGCTATAAGTCACCAGAAAGGTGCATATTTCAGATCCAATGGAAAAACAAAATCAAAGGTCACTTGTCCAGAACTTTTTTGAAACAAAATAAATAAAAGAATTGAAAATACCAAAAAAAAAAAGGTAAACAAATAACCTTTTCAAGGATACTTATAGCTTCTTTTGTTGCACTTTTTTCCCTCTCTGAGGACAAAAGGAAAAAACTCTTAGGAATACCAAAGAGTAAACAAATAAACTTTTTGTATTATGACATGCTACACTATAAACAGTAGCTGTGATTACCAGGCAAGTAATGGAGTTGTTCACTTATCCATTTTAAGAAATAAGTTCAAAGTTTAAGAAAAGAATCCTACCTTTAACTAAAATCCAACACATTAGACCTTTTAGTCATAGAGCACTAAAGACACTTTTTTTTTTAATATCATGGTGTCTGGATCAGTTTTTGCGGACCTCGACTAATTTCAAGGCATACCTCCTACCAACAATAATAATCAGGTGACTTTGTCCACCAAAGACAAGGACATATGGAGGAAATCACCCAACATTTTCTTTCTTTGCTGGGATTTGAACCCGAGACCTCATGAGACACATTCTTTATCTAAGGCGGAACACATCGATAGTCCCTAAAACTTGCCAGTTAATTTCAGTTAGACACTCGAACAACAGGTTGTTTCGATTGAGCACCTAACTAGATGATGATGTGTTCCTACACTTCCAACTTAAAGTTTGGAAAAACTTTTGCGCATGTTGTCAAGCGCCCATTCCACAGATAAATCAACAGCTTGAAGCATCCCTTAGTTATATGCATTAGTCTCAATAAGTTGTAAAACCTCATGCTTGTTCAAATTACGCTGATTTGTTAAATTAAAGGAGGTAATATATTATAGTGGTTAACTTATCTACGTAATAGGCGGTTGAGAACACGTGAAAAAAATCCAAAATTTGAGCCGAAAGTGTCTAGTTAAGTATATTTTACAATTTTCTCCTTGAGAATAGTAGATGATTTTTAATGAACTTCATACTAGGAGGCAAAAGCACACCAACATAACAGTGTAACCAACAAGCTCCACAAGTTGCTTAACTTCATGAATTTAAGAAAGTTTCGCTTTCTCACCTCTTCTATGTTCTACAAGCACTCAAACATTCAAGCTCAAGGTCCATTCCATCTTTAGGCCCAAACTAATGCCATGTGTCAAGTGACATGACAGTCCTGTCAAATTCAAGGCCAACAAGATAATGTCACATGTTCAAAAGATGTGGCCCAAAAACGAAGCCCTTTAACTTTGAACAAACGGTACCCAACTAACAACTAGTTTTTGAAGAAATTTGCATAATAACTACCTGAGGAGGGTACCTAAAGGTAGCTTTTTAACAGACAAATACTACCACATAAACCTTTCCAAAGTTTCCAAAGTTTAAGCAGCTGCTAAAAACAAAAAGAATAAAGAGAAGTGGACACATCTTAGCTAGAAAGGTTACATTCTTTTCCAGTGTAAGAAGGAATCTAGTGAATCTTCATTCACCCGGCACACCATTTGCCACACAATATCAACTACCAAACTCATTTATTTGAAAAGCTAAATCAATTTCAATCAATCAACTATTCCTCATTTCAAAATCAGTTGGGATCAATTATTCCTTGGGATACCTGCTATCTCCCACCAACACAGGTAACGAGTAACCCTATCAGCTACTTGGGGATACATGGGAAGAAATTACCTAGTATTTTTGTTGAGAAATGATCCTGTTACCTCATGATTCTCAGCTCACAACCTCAGCGCCACACCCTTGAGTACAGGAAAATGGACACATTTTATCCAGCAAGAATACTTCTCTTTTTTCAATATGAGAAGAAATCTACTGAATCTTTATTCAATAGCATATCACTTGCCACACAATTCCAGTCCCCTAACTAATATACTTGAAAAACTAATTCAATTTCAATCAATCAACTATTCCTCAATCCATGAATCAGTTGGATCAATTATTCCTTGGGTACCTGCTATCTCCCACTAGCACAGGTAACGAGTAACTATGTCACCTACTTGGACACATGAGAAGAAATCACCTAGTGTTTTTGCTGATATTTGATCTTTAAGAGCTCATGATTCTCAGCTCGCGACACCATTTTTTTTCAATATAAGAAGAAATCTACTGAATCTTTATTCAACAGAACACCATTTTCCACACAATTCCAGTCCCTTAATAGACATACTTGAAAAGCTAAATCAATTTCAATCTATCAACTATTCCTCAATCCTAAACTGTCAGTACCCTAACTATCCAATCAGCTGAATTTTTTCAATCCAATACAAGTTCAGCAGAGGTTCTAAAATAAACAAAATTGAAAAATCTTTTAATCCCAAATACTCAAGAAATTGAAAAATCGAAGTAAGGAAAACTGACTGATTGGGCATGTAATGAGAAACCCAGAATGCGAATGGCGGAGTAAGGAAGAAGAAGCGTTGTAATCGAAACGAGGGATGCTTATCACAGCAGAATGCTGCTCCCATGGCTTCATCTCTTCAATTTTTTCTCCTTCTGCAATTGTTTTCCCTTCATCTTCCGCCATCTTTTTCTTCTTCTGGTTTTCTGCCGGCGGTTCTGAACTAACCCTTTGCTCCATTTCTCCTATAGTCAATCAACTACTCCCTTCGTCTCACTCCGCTTTTCCGTCTTAATTTATATTAAGCAGAACGCATAAGCGGCCCCTTGAACTTGTAAGGATTTTTCGTATAGACACTTTAACAAGGACTCCTTCCTATTGAACACTTAAACCACTCAAAAAGTGTACCTATCAAACACACCTGGCTGACTTGGCACTTATCGTGTGAGGCACTCCTTTTGAGCGCGTGAAGTGAGAAAAAAAAAGTTGATGTGTCTGATTGGCACACTTTAACATACGGTCAAAATCTTCCCCTTTTATTTATCCAACCCTAGATTCTTCCCCTTTATTTATTTCTCATATCTTTCTTCTCCACATCTCACCATTGTTGCTGCTACAGTTGAGATAAAAAAAAGTTCTTCATTCGTCTTCTTCACAGCGAAGGAAATGTCCAATTTGTCGATTTCAACTTCTTCAGATGCAAATGTGTTCTGTCGATGTGGGGTCAATGCTGAATTGAAAGTTTCATGGACACAACTTAATACAGGATGTCGATTTTTTTGCTGCAAAAACACAAAGGTAAGCTTTTTATCATTATTCTAATCTGGTTAAACAAATCGTTGTCAATCGCTAATTATAGTTTAATTATTTTGATAATTTATGTAGAGAAGAGGTGGATGCGATTATTTTCGATGGTACGATGATGAAATACCACCTCAAGCAAAAAAGATCATATGGGGTCTATTGAAAAGAATAAAATCCTATGAACAAGAGAGGAAGCAAGCAAGAAAAATCGGGATCATATGCGTTATTGCACTCGTGATTTTCGCTATATGGAAATATTTATGTTAGTAGTCTTAGAGTGATTGTATTAGTAGTCTTGTGTTTCTGTTGTACTGATTTTGGAAGAAGGAATGGAGATAAGTTGTTCATTAATCTATCATATTGCTCATCTCCGCAACGCGGAGGCATCTTTAAATTTCCATTCGCACACAATTGCTCATCTCAGCGACGTGGGCACTCCACGGAGTGTTCTGCCTCAAACTTGCTTTGTTGAATCAATTTAGGAATCCCTCGTTATAGTGTACATCAAAAACATAGTTAACAAAAAAATTCTTAGCATTTCCTTGTAAGAAAATCCACATTTAAACCACTAGTTATAGTGTACATAAAAAACATCACAAAACATATTAAAGCAGTCTCAGTATTGTTTCCTGCTTGCATTACAGATTCAAATAAAACAACCCCCAAGTGTACATCAAAAACACCCAAAACATATTAAAGTAGTCACACCCATCTGTTCTTGCTCTTGTTGCACTAGACGTTTGCAGATCCACCCCCTTTGGACTTACTCATGCGTTGTAATTGTGGAGTGGTGACAACATCTTTACCCTTCCATTTCAGTCTACGAGGCTTATAACCAATATCAATATTTGTTGGTGTTGCACACTTGAAAACAACTGGAGTAACAACTCTTTCACCTGTTGTATCAGGCTGTATACAAGAAACTAAACTAAGTGCATATTATAAAAGTAGATTATAAATAATTGAAGCTGGTTATACTCTTACATTTAATGTTTGTCTGCCACTTAGATCATCAGTGTAGATGCCAAATCCCACAGTCTTAGGCCTTTTGTTTCCTCGTGTTGATGTTGATGCTCCTTCTCTTCCCTTACCTCTTCCTGCTTGTTGCCCTCTTGTAACAGTTGAAGTATCATCACCTTCTCTCCCCCTGCCTTTTCCCCCTGCCTTTTCCAGCTTGTTGAACTCTTCTAACAATTGAAGTATCATCACAGATAGAAGTTGATTGTTGGCCTGAGCTAACATGTTGTGATGTTCTCTAGGTTGGTGGCTGGCTAGAACCAACAGGTTGGCCTGAGCTTGGTGGTTGGCTACAGCTTCTTCGTTGCCTTGAGCTTGGTGGCTGGCTAGAACCTACACTTGAGCTTGGTGGTTGGCTATAACATGTAGGTTGCCTTGAGCTTTGAGGCTGACTTGAGCTAGCAGGTTGGCTTGAGCTTCCAGGCTGACCCATTTCAGAAGATTTAATAGTGTAAATAAGAAGAAGAAAAATTGTATTGCATTTTATCTATTTAATTGAAGTAATTAAAGGTTTTCTTGAGTATTACCATATATTTGCAGGCTTTATTATTGTGGCCTTGTTGATGACACTTGGAGCAAGTCATTTTTACACCTCTCCTGGACAACTTTCCATACTTCTTTCTTGGCTCATCCTTTGACTTTCTTCTGCATTTTGGTGGTCTGTCAGGCATTTGCTTTGGTTCAGGAGGCTCAATCACTATATCACTAGTGTGAGGCCACATTTTCATGTTAGGTATTGGCTGGATAGAGTAATTATAAGCCTTCATGAAAGTATCTTTTCTATACCAATGTACAACATGATCTTCAGGGTCTTGGCCTGCATGCTGATAAGCCAAAACAACATGTTGACATGGTATGCCTCTCAACTGCCAGGTTCTACAAGTACAAGTCTTCTTTCTGATATCAATAATATGCCTATAATGACCATCTAAAATTTCATATCCAAATTGGCCATTGAACCTAACTTGACAATCTCTAGCATAATCTTTGTTTTCTTCAAGTACTAAACTTGCCATAGGAGAAATGTCTGATATCCAAGTGTCAACAAATTTTCTCATCTCAACATTTCTATCCATTATCTTATGTCTAATTTCTTCTAACATGGTGATAATTGATTTATGTCTAGTAGCTAATATCCAAGAATTAAATGTCTCACATATATTATTCTCAACAACATCACACTTAGCATGCTCCTTAAAATATGCTTTACACCATGTCTTTTTTTCATAATGTAACAAGTCTCCACAGATCTTATTACCAAGTTTATCAAGTTTGTCCATTTCATCTTGAAATTTTACCTCAAAACTTGATTTTGCACATCTCCAAAATTGTTTTCTTCTTTCTTCTCCTCTCCAATTCTTCTGCCAATTGGACCAGATGTGTCTAGCACACATCCTCTGCTCACAATCTGGCAGCAACTCCATTATGTCTGCTACAAGACCCTACATATCATAATAATTGAAATTTATGACTAATAATAATTAAATAAATAGACAATGAGATCAAAATTAAATAAAATGAACATTAAACTAACCTTTTGCATATCAGACATCACATTCAATCCATGTCCAGTGCCTAAGTTTAGATCTTGTATCAAGAAGTTGATGAAGAACCTCCAACTGTGCTTTGTTTCTTGATCAACAACTGCCCAAGCAATTGGAAACATTTGTTGATTTCCATTCCTACCAATTGCAACTAATAATTCACCCTTGCAAGCACCCTTCAGAAAGCATCCATCAAAACCAATGATTTTTCTACATCCTTCCAACCAAACTCTCTTTAATGCATCAAAACAAACATAAAAGTAAACAAACATATTCTTTCCTGGAGTAGATTCCCTGTCTGTCCTCACCCAACATGAACTACCAGGATTAGTCTGTTTTATCATGTCTGCATAATCACACAACCTTGCAAACTCCATCTTCCAATCACCCATAAACTCCTTGAGAATCATCAATTTTGCCCGATAACAAAGAGTTCTTCCAACATACAATCCTGTCGTCTTCCTCACCAACTCTTGAATTTCCCACAATTTTATATAAGGTTGAGAAACTATTATGTTCCTAAACTTATTTGCAATAAAGTTAGATGTACATAACTTGTTTTTGGTTGTGGTAGGGCACTGATGAACAGGATAGTAATTCTTAACAATAAAGTCACCAGAGTCTTTGTCTAGACTAGCATACAACAACCATTTGCATTTCTTATGCTGACATTTAACTCTGACTCTATGTTTTTCATTAGGCCTCAATTTTAATTTGACTTTATATTCCACAGCATACTCTGCCACAACCTTTCTAAATTCTATGGCATTTTCAAATACCATACCAAGCTCAAATATAGCAACTACACAATCAGGATCAAATCTAACCTTTTTACTTTTTCTTCTAGCTGGTAAATCAACACCTTCCACAGCTTCAGGATCAAATTCATCCCTACTGTCATCACTATCCAATTCTGAACTATCAATATATTGCTCATCTCCCCCCAATCTTCCTACATACCTAGCAGCCTTGTTCCTTCCAATGTCTTCAAATCTTCTATCAACACCAGCTACTCCAAGAATTATTTCCTCTGTAGAATTAGGTTTTTTCCTCTGCAATTTGGTTCTTCTTTCATTTCTAAGAGTTCTCAACTCTTCATCAATCTCTGAGTCATCATCATCTGGAATAGCAAACTCTTGTGAATCATCACTAATATCCCAATCTGTTTCAACACCTTCAAGATCTAATGCATCATCTACACCAACTTCAACATTAATATTCTCAGATTGGGTAGCTCCTTGTTGTAACCCTTCATCCACACCAACTTCAACACTAATATTCTCAGATTGGGCAGCTCCTTGTTGTAACCCTTCATCCACATTAATATTATGTGAGTTTTCTACCCCATCCTCATTAATAATTTCACCAACTGTTGGCCCACAAAGATAACCTGTAGGGACCCCATCTTTAATAATTTCTACCTCATCTATAACATGTTGAACATACAAGTCCAAAAAGTCACCATCGCCTAGGTCTTTTATAAGGTTTAGTAAGCTGAAATCGTTATCCACTAAGACAAAGTTATTGGCTGTAGGGTCTTTAAAATAAAACTCACCCACAGTAACATACCCCAGATATCTAGTATAAAAAAACAATTCCATTAAAGAAAAGTGGTCTTTATCGATACCTACATATTCCACTTCATTTTCCCCTATGTAAGTGAGACCTCCACCAGATGTGTCTTCCACAAATTTACCACCATGGTGAAAGCGAGTTACTATAATAATATCCATAAGATTCCCTAGAAAAAAAATCAAATAAATCTGACAAATTACTGACAAGGAAACCCTAAAAAATTCAAATTTTATTCACATATGTACAAAACATCATCACTGTAGTAATATACAAAAAGAGACACTATATTTAAAGGGGAAATTGATAGCAAT